CGAAGGAGCTCCCAAAGCTCCCCCAGTTGTGAAAGCATTGTGGTTTCATATTGTTTTCCTGTAAACCACTCCAGCCGCCGAAAAAGCTGCAGGGGCGGCCGAGCTCCGGGGGTGGGGGGGGGGGGGGGGGGGGGCGAGATTGCTCGAGAAGCGCTCTGGAGCGTGGTCCTCGGCAAGGCGGAGCGCGGCGTTCGTGGCGTATGAGGCCAGCAGCGTCGCGTCGGCCTTGGAGGCCTGGAGCGCCGTGATGCTGGCGTCCCGGCTAGCAAGCTGCGCTGCGACGAAGGCCTCGGTGGCGAGGCCCAGCAGCGCATTTGCTATCTTCGTATCTACCTCCAGCGGCGTGTCCAGCCCGTCCACCGTGGAGAGCAGGGCGGCCAGCGCGCCGGCGTCCGCCTTGCCGAGGAGGGCGGCGTCCAGGGCTGCCGTGGTGACGGCGTCCAGGAGAGCGGCCGCTATCTTAGAGTCCACCTCGGAGGAAGTGAAGTGTCGACGGCCGACTGCAGCGCGTACGCGGTCAGGGCGCTGGCGTCTGCCTTGGAGGCCTGCAGCCCCGAGATGGTGGCGTCTCTGCTCGCGAGCTCGGAGGCCAGCGCCGCGGCGGTGACGGCCCCCAGGAGAGCGTTGGCCACCTTGGTGTCCACCTCCAGCGGCGTGATCCTCGCCGCTATGTCCAGGGAGTGCTGGTCCACCACCGGCTTGAGGCCGTAGTTGGCGGCCACCGTGGCCAGCGTGGCGTTGTTGGCCGAGGCGATGGAACCGTTCATGGCCGCCGTGGAGCTGTAGTTGGACAGCTTCAGGTCCACGCCGTCCGGGGTGCTCTTTGTCGCCACCACGCCCTCCAGCACGTCGAAGGCCGACTGGTCTGCCTTGTTGGAGAGGCCCGTGGTCAGCGAGCTCTGCAGCGCGGCGATGCTGCTCCCGTGCGCGGCCACCTGGCCGTCCGTGGTGGCCAGGGCCGCCGCCGTGGCCAGGGGCGCAATTGCCGGCGCCAGCGCGCTGCTGTCCAGCTTTGAGGCCAGCTCTGCGGTGACTCTGTCGTCCAGGAACTGGATGGCAGCCGCGTTGTTGCCGGAGGCTGCCGTGTTCACCGCCAGGTCCGTTACTTGCGCGTAGGGCGTCAGAGCCAGGGCCAGCTGCCCTGCGGTGACGTGCGTACCGTCAGTTACCTCTCCGTTGTCCAGGACCTCCGGGATATTGCCGGTGACAGGTCCTTCAAACATGTTTTCTTAGGAGTAGGTGTTATACGAATTCATAACGCAGGGGTGTTGTACTTTCGCAGCGCGCCCTCACAGGTCCTTCGTGGCGTTCCGGCCGTTCGGAGAAGTTTCCTCGTGATTCGGGGGTTGGTGTGTTTTTGACACACCTCACAGGCGTCACCGCTTGTTGGTATGTCAAACACACCAACCCCTCTTCGGCACAAGTTTCCGCACGTGTCACAGTCCGTGGGTGACCTTGAGAGCGAGGCCCGCACCAGGCCCACACCAGGCCCGCACCAGGCCCGCACCAGGCCCACACCAGGCCCGCACCAGGCCCACACCAGGCCCGCACCAGGCCCGCACCAGGCCCGCGCCAGGCCCGCACCAGGCCCACACCAGGCCCGCACCAGGGTATTTTCGGAAGTAGCGCGGCTACAATGTGACTCACTTGATCTGACACTCGATTTGACCGATTTTGCCGGTCAAAGGCGGGACCTGCGCACGATGGAGCCAGTGGCCGGCAAAACCGGACACTGCTTCGTAGTTGGTGCGAGACATCAGCTGCGTGCCCTCCATGTCGGCGGGCTGGCGCGGCCGGGCTCCGATGCCGGGCAGGAGTATGTCGCAAGCCTTTCGGCCTGGAACTCGCAACAGAGCATGTCGGATTTTCTCCGACATGCCCTTGTAGGATTCCGCAACATCACTCAAATCATCGGCCGCGTCTTTCTGCGACTTCCCGGCTCGGAGCCGACGCCGAAGACCTCCGCGAGCTGTCGGCGCTCTCGGATGGCCTTGTTGGTCCGAGCTGCTCGTGATGCACCGGGGCAATCCTGTGCCCACGCCAGGATTGAGTGTGGCAATCCTGTGCCCACGCCAGGATTGAGTGTGGCAATCCTGCGCCCACGCCAGGATTGAGTGGGGCAATCCTGCGCCCACGCCAGGATTGAGTGTGGCAATCCTGTGCCCACGACAGGATTGACGGCAGGCCCGCACCAGGGCCGCACCAGAGCGAAGCCGGACCGACACCGCGGAGCTGGTTTCGCTTTTCCAAGCCTTTTGCGCACTTTTCGGCCCAAAAGAGAGCGGTGACGAAGCGGTGACACGCTCGGCGGGCTCGGGGCTCCGATGCCGGGCAGGTGCGGCCGGGGAGGCTATGCCAGGCAGGTGGCGCGGCCGGGGAGGCTTCAATGTTCGCCGAAACTGTCGGGTTAGACGACAGTTTCGATATTTTTTTCCTGGGAATCGGGGCTTCTATGCCGGGCAGGCGTGGCTGTGAACTCGCCGAAGGCCCTGGCGGGATGTTCGGGCTCGTGCGCCACGAGGTGCTCCTGAAACTCGCGATTGGCGAGGGTCTCGCGTGCCAACTCGGGATCTCCGCCCACGACCCTCGAGCTGAGGCGTTGGGCCACGCGGCTCCGGAGGCGCAGGACGACGAGCAAAGTGGTGCGCAGGTCGGCCACGGGGGTCTTTCTCTGGCGTGCGCCCGGGAATTGGCAGTGGAGGATTTTGTCCTCCACTGTATCGAACTCTTCAATGACGACACGAATGTCTTGCGCACTCGCGGACTTGCCGCTGACCAACCCGTACTTGAGCGAGCCATCAAACGAGGTTGGGCGAGCCATACGAGGTTGGGCGAGCCAGTACTTGGGCGAGCCAGTTCAGCGAGCCAGTACTAAGGGGCCGTTGGGCAAGCCATCATACGAGGTTGGGCGAGCCAGTACTAAGGGGCCAACCTGCACCAGGGAATTTGAATTGAAAGTTATTAACTTTCAATTTCCTGGTATACTTCCAGTACGACACGAACGTCTTGCGCACTCGCGGACTTGCCGCTGACCAACCCGTACTTGGGCGAGCCATCAAACGAGGTTGGGCGAGCCAGTACTAAGGGGTTGGGCGAACCCGTACTAAGGGGCCGTTGGGCGAGCCACTCAACCACAGTGGCCTCCACGCCTGCTTCAAAGCTGCGCCTGCTTGGCGCTCCTACGGTGCCAGCTCGGCACGGTTAGTTAAGTGCCTGCTCGGCACGTTTAGTTAAGTGCCTGTTTACCTAGGTGCCTGCTCGGCACGTGCCCGCTCGGCACATCTAGTGCCTGCTCGGCACCCCCACGGTGCCAGCTCGGCGCCGGGGTGCCTGTGCCTGCTCGGAACGTGCCTGCTCGGCACATTTAGTTACTAGTGCCCGCTCGGCACTGTGCCTGCTCGGCACGTTTACCTAGGTGCCCGCTCGGCACTGTGCCAGCTCGGCACTGTGCCAGCTCGGCACATTTAGTTACTAGTGCCCGCTCGGCACTGTGCCAGCTCGGCACCGCCCTGCCTCGGAGTTCTCCAGCTCCAGGATGAACCTACGTACGGCAGCCTGACAGGAAAAAAACAGAGGAGGGGGGCACGTTGGGGTTGAGCCACATGACATGCAAAACCGTGCAAAAAACCATGTCAAAATCATGTCATGCAAAAACCGTGCAAAAAACCATGTCAAAATCATGTCATGCAAACATGCAAAACCGTGCAAAAACCATGTCAAAATCATGCAAAAACAAGATGTCATGTCATGCAAAACCCATGCAAACATGCAAAAACCATGCAACATGCGGCGCGTACGCTGGCGTCTACACCGGGCAGGCGCGGCAAGGCTTCTACGCAGGGCGCGGCAACCCGCTGAACATCCACTCTCCCCGGGTTCCTTGCTATATGTGCTATATGTGCTATATCTCACAAGGCAGGCCACTGAACATCCACTCTCCCCCGGCTCCTTGCTATATGTGCTATATGTGCTATATCTCACAAGGCAAGCCACTGAACATCCACTCTCCCCGAATTCCATGCTATATGTACTATATGTACTATATGGCCCTATATAGCACATATACTACAAATTTTCGCGCGTACAGAACATATAGCACATATAGTACATATAGCAAGGAGCTGGGAGAGAGTGGGGGTTCAGCGGCTTGGCGTGTAAGATATAGCACATATAGCACATATAGCAAGGACGCGGGGGAGAGTGGGGGTTCAGCGGCTTGGCGTGTAAGATATAGCACATATAGCACATATAGCAAGGACGCGGGGGAGAGTGGGTTCAGCGGCTTGGCGCGGCTTCAATGCCGGGCAGGCGCGGCCGGGTGGCGCAGCGCCAAGCCGTATGACCGTATGATCCGTATGATCCGTATGACACGGCGGGCTGGCGTGTCAGGGAAGAACATGTTCATCCGACATGTACTCCGACATGTTGAAATTAAGCGCGTATAGCGGCTTGGCGCGGCAGAAATGTGAATACAAATTGCACTTGTATTGGCACTTGTGTTGAAGAAATTAAGCATATAGCAAGGAATCCTGGGGGAATTTCAATGCAGGGTTTCTGCAGGGAATCTCTGCATTCCCTGTATCTCTCTCTTTAGAGGGGGTTTTCCAAATGGCTTATATTCTACCTGAGAGGCTTCTAGCACTCGTCCGTCCAGCATTTGACCTCGTCCTGCGAAGGATTCGAAGTCTAAAACGCTGCGTGCAGGCGTGTGGCTGCAAAATAGAGACCCTGCTAAGCCCTGCATGTACCGTGAGTAGGTTTACACGTTGTAACTGGGTTGCATGTGTTTACCGTTGTACAGCGACGGTTTGCGAGATGAACCGCTTGATTGGACAAGGCGTTTGACAGCTCAAAATGTTAGCATGGTAGCGGAGCTCGGTAAGACACTGAGCGTCCGTGTAGCGGCGCCATTTGATTGTTTGCTTTTACAACTGTGCTGGTGAGAGTGATTGCTCGTTAGACGGGCGATTTGGCGAGTGAGTCTTCGGAAGGCTTACGACATGGCGGATGGCGGAGCGACGTCATCAAGCCCGACTGCTGGAGATCCTATGGCACAGATTCGTGCAATGGCCGAGCTTGCTATAGAGACAGCGCGGGCAAATCAGGCGGCAATTCAGAGTTTGGTGCAGTTGCAGGCAGACAATTTGACGGCGCAGGCAGCACGGAATGTGAGCGGTCAGAACATCTCGGGAAAAGATCTGGTACGCATTTTGAGAAATCCGGAACCGTTTGTTGCAGCCTCGAGAGAGGAAGAATTAGCGAAGTGGAAGAACTGGAGTTGGACATTCGAGCGTTGGTTGAGTGCCCTTGACCCTGGTTTTCATGCAGATTTGGAATCGCTGCGTCGGCAAGAAGGACCAGTTTTGATGACTGATATGAATGAAGAAACGGCCTCTAGAAGCAATTTGCTTTACTCATTGCTTGCTGGCATTCTACATGAACGAGGCATTCAGATACTGAAGACTGTTCAAGATTTGAATGGCTTTGAGGCTTACAGACTGATAAGCGAAGACCTGCAGCCCCTGGCCCGCACACGTGCGTTGGCTTTGTTGCAAGCAATCAACAATTGGCCTGCTTTTTCCATGAAACAAGGACTTAGCAATCAGTTGGCGAGGTTGCAGGAGGCTGAACAGGAGTACGAGCGTGTTACGGCGAGCAAGTTGAGTGATAACCATCGCATGGCAGTTTTGCTTAGATGCTTGAGTGGCCCTTTGAAAGCCTATACGAACATTGTGGTCACTGAGGGCTCAAGCTACGCACAGCTTTGCAGTTTGGTACAACGTTGGGAGACTTCGCAAACGAAATGGACAAATCCCATCAATAGCATGTTCCACATCAAGGACCAACCACACAGCGAGGACACCAGTAGCAACATGGAAGTTGACAGAATCAAAGGTGGCTGGAGCAAGCAAGGAAAAGGCAAGCACAAAGGTGACCAGAAAGGCAAGTTCTCGAAAGGAAAGTTTGAGAAAGGTGGAAAATCCAAGGGCAAAGGCAAGTACAACAACAGCAAAGGCAAGGACTCGAAAGGCAAGACAGGAAAAGGTTCCTATGACATGGTTGCTGGCGATGCTTGCTTGTACTGCGGCAAAACCGGACACTGGAAGCGGGATTGTTTTCGCTACAAGAAAGATCAGGAGCAGGCGAGCGTGAAACGTGCTGAGGAGTCGCATCAGGCCTACATGGACCATGGCACTTCATCGGCTGCTTCCACTGTCAGTGCGGGAAGCGGGTCGACCTCAGGCACGTACAAAACAGCTCAGCAGGCTGTGAGAAGGGTGTACTCTATGGATGATGGTACAGATGTTTTTGATTTGACAATTTATGAAATGGACGACGAGCAGGAAGATGCTGCATTTTATGATGTGCGCATGATTTCATTTGCAGGTATTTCGGATTCTGCAGTGCAATGTTTCGATATGACTTATTCGGATGGAGATTCGCAGTGGGAATGTGCAGAAGATATCAAATCAGGATTTGCGGATGTGTCGGTCTCAGAGTGTGCTGCATACATGTCAGATGGTACAGAAATGTGTGGTACATCTATGTGCAGTTTTCATGGGTTTTCAGATGAGAATGGAATTGTTCGTGCAGTGCATGGTGATTCAACTGCAGACCCAATAGACGTGATTCTGGACAGTGGTGCAGATGTGAGTGTGCTTCCTGAAGAAATGAGTTGTGTAGGTTCGCGAGCACCTGCAAGGCCTGGGAAGTTCAAGGACGCACAGGGAAATGACCTCAGAATCAGCCAGAGACGGATTGCAGACATTCATGTGCAGTCGAACAAGGGGACGTTTGTTTTGCGGGAGGAGTTCATAGTTGCGAAGGTATCTCATCCCTTGGTTTCTGTGTGCAAGCTTTTGCGAGCTGGCTGGCAGGTCGGTACTAAGGAGGGAGAGCTTAAGCTATGGAACCAGGAGGTGGAATTGCCCGCATTCTACAAGCGAAACTCCTTGTGCATCTCAGGATCCATTTGTGCCGTCAGTCAGAGCACAAACGAGAGCGATCAGGTGGCGGCCACGTTGAGGCCTGAGCTTGCGGAGATTGGAACAGGTTGGAAGCAGATTAGCGAGACATGCTGGGCAGTGAAATTGTTCGGCATGAACTTCACAGACGTGGCAGCAAGCTTGCCGCAAGCTGAAGTGGACAGAAGGTCTACTCTCATCAAGCAGAATGGGAGATGGTGGGTGATCGAGTTTGCAGATCGTTTGAGTGAGCTTGAGAATGTTTCAGGTAAGATCGAAGAGCTGCAGGAACCCACCGAGATGATCACTCTTGCTCATCGAGGATATCAGGACACTGCGAAGCTGGGTTTCGATGTTGAGTCGTTGGCATCATTTCCGGGTGGATCTGCATCAGAAAGCAGTGCGGTGAATGTTCAGGCAGAAGCTGCACCTAGTGACAGGCCTGCGGAACAGGTCAATCCGGCTGAGGAATCTGCAGTGGACGAGGCTCGGAGAGATGTGCCAGCGGAAGCGTTGGTTCCAGTTGATGAGCATGAAGTGGAGTTTGAAGGCAAGATGTTGACAATGAAGGACACTTTGTCGGTCTTGAGGGAAGCACGCACGAAATGTGGTATTGGAAAGTCTGGAGGCAAAGCAATTATTCTGAAGCGTCTGGGTCAGCACTTGAAGGCGCAAGACATGAGAGCAGAACAGAAGGTGCACAATGAGATCTTGCAGGGAGAGAAGCGAAAGGCGAACTCTCCACCAGGTGTGGCTTCACCTACACCGGAGCAGGTGGCTGAGCATGAACTCACGCATTACCCTTTTCAGGCGTGGTGCCATCATTGTGCTGCATTCAAGTCTAGGCAGGACAGACATGAGAAGGTTGACGATTCAAGCAGAGCGTTGCCTTTGGTCAGTGCAGATTTTTGTTACACGTCACGGGATCCAGAGAAGGCGGGGTCTCGGGACGACAAAGCGTCCAAACTTTGTTGTTTGGTTTTGCACGACCGCGACAGCAAATGTGTGCATGCAATCCCAACGGCTCAGAAAGGCGGAAAGTGGATGACACAGTTGGTTGTGGAGGTGTGCAGATTTATGGCTTACCTCGGATATCCAGAGCTAATTTTCATGACAGATGGAGAGCCTTCTTGTGTTAATTTGCAGGAGCGAGTGCAACAGCACAGGCTGAAGTATGGCACAAAGACTGTTTTGCGGAACAGCCCTCGCGGCGACCATCAGGCGAACGGTGCAGTGGAGCGGTCAGTGCAAGCGTTGAGGTACCAGTGCAATATTTTTCTTGCGCAGATGGAGGAAGGTTGCAAATGCAAAGTTGGCACTTTTGACCCGCTTCATGCATGGGCATGGTTGCATAGCGCATGGACCCACAATCGTTTTCATGTGGTGCAAGGTATGACGCCATTGGAGCGAGTGTCATCAGGCTCGATTTACCGAGGCAAAGTTGCAGTGTTCGGTGAGTGCGTTTTGGCTTACATGAAAGTGCAGAACAAAGGAAACCCTTCCTGGGTAAAGAGCATATGGCTGGGCAAGGTCGCCACAAGCGACATGCATCTGGTGTCAACTGCCGGAGCAGGATTCCATGGTGGAGGACTGGTTTTGACGCGGTCCATCAGGCGTCTCACAGCAGAGCAAAAGTGGGATGCAGGGCTGGCAGCGACACTCAGAGGCATGCCCTGGGATTACCCTGGTTACCTTGGAGGGCATCTGGGATTTGGAAGGCCAAGGCGTGCTGCTGAACCCGAACAGGGTGTTGATGGTGAAGAAGAGCGATTTATGGAGGTTTTACCGGATGAAGCCCCTTTGGAGGCGTTGGTCATCGGTTTTCCAGGTGACAGAGCAACTGGAGAAGGGGATGAAGCTGCATCAGACCCGGAAACGGTGGTCCCGGACGAGCACACTGCAACGCATGCGAAAAAGGGTGAGTCCGAGGATCAGACCGAGCAAGCAGCGAATCCGAGAAAGAGTGCGTTCAAAGCAACCGATGTGGTGCAACCAAAGGTGAAAGCGGCTAAGATAGAGCCCAAGGTCAGGGTGGTTCCACCTGAGAGCGCTCGTGTGCGGGACCCGGCGGAGGAAGAGCGTGACTCCAAGGCAGCGAAGGTGTCGCCAAGAAAGGAGAGGAGGTTGAATGCCCCACCGATGTATGCGGGCGAGCCTACGCCCGGAGAAGGCGGGGATTCTTCTGCTTCAAGGCCAGGAGTTTTGTGTGTTGTGGGAGATGAAGAGCTGCGTCATGAGGACGAGGTGCTGGAATTGCCCTATGATGAGCAGCAAGCTGAGACGATGATAGAACATGACCACCAGCTCACTGGCGATGTGGAGGCAGAGCAAGGATTCCAGAGTTCGGAAGGAAGATTCGGAGCTTCTTTACTACCCGGTTGGTCCCGGGGGCGAGGAGCCACAGTTGGCGGAAAGTGATTTGCAGGCGATAGATGATCTCGCGAAGCGCATGGAGGTGGACAGGCTCATGACCATGGGTGTTTTGAAGCCCATAAGCAAGCAGGAGGCGCAGGAGTTGGGATTGAGAACACTCAGTACGAAGTTTGTGACAACTTGGAGGCCGAAGCAGCGAGACCAAGTTCCGAAGTTTATGCGTCGGGCTAGGTTCGTTGCTCGAGAATTCCACTGGGATGATCCGCATCGGCAGCAGCTATTTGCACCGGCGACGTCAAGTTTGGTCATTCGATTGTTGCCGGCCCTGTTTCAGCACAAGAAAGCAGAAGGTTTGGACTGGGTAATGATTGCGTTGGATATTAGCGATGCATATTTGACGGTGGATCAGCAAATCCCCACTTGTGTGAATGCATGGATTGATGGGGAGGAATGGACATTTCAGCTGGACAAGCTGTTGCCAGGCCAGCGTGACGGTGCGCGTGAGTGGCATGGAGCATTTACAAGTTTCTTGAAGGAGAAAGTTGGAGTGGAAGGTTGCACAGTTTGCCCTTCAGTTTTGCGAGCAGCTGAAGGATTCAATGGTCTTTTGCATGTGGATGATATGCTTGGAATTGGCACTGAGGAATTTATCATGGAGAGACTGGTGCCCGCAGTGGAAAGTAGATACAAGGTGACGTATGAGCTCATCACCAAGCCCGGACAGGAATTGTGGTTCTTGAAGAGGAAGCTGATTTACCATCGCTCACTGCGGTTTATCATTCAGCCCCACCAGAAGAATTTCACAAAGCTGTTCGAGCTGATGAATATCAATCCGGACAGGGTGAACCCGAGGGCAGCACCAATGCCTAGTGGAGGTGCTCAAGCCAAGCTGGCGGACAATCCTTTGGAGGAACCTGCGGCAAGCAAGTACAGGGCGGCGGTTGGACTGTTGCTTTACATGAGCACGGACTTGGTTGATTGCCAGTATTGCATCAAGACGTTGGCACAGTGCATGGCTCATCCAGGTGCTGAGGGGTGGAAACTTTTGAAGCATCTCTGTTTCTACTTGGTTGGTGTGAGGTACAATGCAATTTGTTTCGAACAGCCGATCTTGTATGATGGGCTAGTGGTGAAACGCTGTCCTTCTGCGATGGTCTTGGAGACATGCACGGACAGTGACTGGAGTGGAGACAAAGAAACCAGAAAGTCGACGTCATCTGCTGTGTTTCTGCTCAACAAGAATTGTGTGTACAGTTCTTCGCGATCTCAACGCACAATATCGCTGAGCAGTGGCGAGGCTGAATATTACTCCACGGTCAGTGCTGGTTGTGATGCGATCTACCTTTCGAACATTATCAAGTTTTGCACTTATGAGAAGCCTCTTGGGGTTTATTTGCTTACTGATTCGTCGGCAGCAAGGGGAGTGCTTGGAAGGATTGGTGCAGGTCGTATTCGCCATCTGAGTGGCCAGGTGTTGTGGATGCAGCAGCGAGTGGCGCAGGGCTTCTTCCAGGTCGGAACAGTTCCCACGGCAACAAATGTGGCGGACTTGAACACGAAGGCTTTGAGCCGAGATCGGGTGAAAATCTTGAGTTTCTTGGTCGGCATTGTGTCGGGCGAGTTTGAAGGTGAGACAGATGAATGGGTGCCTGTAGGTTTTGGTGAGTACGAGGCGCTCATGATGAAGGAGAACACGAGGTTGGCCATCCGGAGGATTAGATCTGACTTGAGTGGCCATGAGGCGTTTGAAGGCGCGAGCAACACGTCGATCACACAGACAGCAAAGAGAGTTTTCGCAGCTGGGATGATCAGTATTTTGCTGCAGCCTGGCGGTAGCGAGAGGATCGAGCACGACGCCTTGAGCAGTGACAACGAGCTCAATGGTTTGAACAATCAGCATGATTGGATCATGGATGCGATTTTCTTTTGCAGCATTGCATGGATGGCAGTTTGCATTTCTTATGGATGTTTTTACTTGATGACATGTGGCTACGGCAAGATTTCAGCGTGGTTTGGAACTGCGAAAGTCAAAGAAGAGAACATTGTGTTCATTACGGAGTTTGGGAAGCATTATCACAGACGGAATTGCAAATGGCTCGTGAAGAGCATTCTCATCGAGATTGAGGAGAACACTGCAGTTGCAAGGCACTACAAGAAGTGCCACACTTGCCATTACTTGGACAGAGCTGAGTTTGGTGGCAAGAGCAGCGCAAGACAGGGTGCAACTGCAGCAAAGCGGAAAACAAAAGATGGAGGCGTGCGATAACGGAGTCCCGGTTTACTGCAAAGGGCTTGGAGCCTAGGTTTCACTTGAGCTTTTGTTTGAGAAGCTTTTATGCCAATGGCAGGCTATCTCATTCGCTCGTTCGCATCAGGACTGTTGAAATCTCAGCTGATGCGTGGAGAAAAGGATGAAATCCCTTTCCATGTGGATTTCAAGGCATTTCAAGGCGGGGTGCTAAGCCCTGCGTGTACCGTGAGTAGGTTTACACGTTGTAACTGGGTTGCATGTGTTTACCGTTGTACAGCGACGGTTTGCGAGATGAACCGCTTGATTGGACAAGGCGTTTGACAGCTCAAAATGTTAGCAGACCCCTAGATATGCGCTGCAATTTGGCTCCAGGTTGCATTTCAAGCGATGTCAAGCTTTGCCAAAGGAAACCCCTTTTCCCTTTTTTTCGGGGACCCCTTTTTTTGGGACCCCTTGTTTTCTTTTTTTTTGTTTTTCTTAGCCCTGCAAAGGTTGGCTCGCTTGAAATGCAACCTGGAGCCAAATTGCAAGCATATCTAGGGGTCTCTATTTTGCAGCCACACGCCTGCGCGCAGCGTTTTAGACTTCGAATCCTTCGCAGGACGAGGTCAAATGCTGGACGGACGAGTGCTAGAAGCCTCTCAGGTAGAATATAAGCCATTTGGAAAACCCCCTCTAAAGAGAGAG